CAGATATTTAGCATGAAATACAGAAATATGAAGTTGACGAGAATGATATTTAGGTCATGTGACTATACGTATGTAAGCAGCCTATGTTTCATGTTTCATACCCTAGTCGTAAAATAGCGATTTATGTAACAGTAAGAGATGTAAATGGTGAATATATGGCTGGCGCACATACGCTAAATTTGCATAAAATGTTCTCCAATGGAATGCATTCTATAAAATAACAAATCTCTTTCTTTTTTTTTTTCTTAATAGTAAAACACAGTTATCATTCACTGGAATAACCCGCGCAGATGCAAATAATTTTTACAGTACTCCCTCATATGTTGATGATGTTTTCTTTGTTGCTACGAATGTCTTCGTCATTAATATGTCTATCATTGTTGTTATTATCATTACTATTGTCATCATTATTATTACTTTTGTTATTGCCGTTTGTGCTGGGCAAAAAAAAAAGCACCCGTCGAGTTTAGAAAATAAAACTATGTAACGTCCAATAGCAAAAAAAACCTTTTCAGATCCCTTGCAAATAAAATATCCACCCTTTTCATTGCCTTCTTCGCCATGTGCTATTAGCTGCTCCCTAGTCAGCCATTGCAGGTGACATCTGCTCGATCTTAACATTATAGGCACCTAAAATTAGCTATCAAGAGTAGGATAAGGCTGATGAGATCTTCAAACTCTCCCCCTCCCTTCCTCCTGCCTCTTCATCCCTACAGACTCCGTACAAGATACAAGTCCAGAAAGGAAAAAGAGAACTGAAGGTGGCGTGCAAGGGAAATTATTTCTTCAAATTTAACCCAAAGATGTGCCAGGACTAACGAGCTGGCGAGACCCTCAACACCCTCCCTTTCCTCTCCTCCTAACCCTCATCCCTACAGAATATTTCTGTGGAAAACACAAATACAGAATGGAAAAAAAGGGCAGAAGGTGATGTGCAAAGGAAACTGTTTTTTGAAATTTGCCCTAAGGATATTAGGGGGATGGGAATATGCAACGGAAAGGAATGCCAAGAAGTGCATTTGTGAAGCGTGTAACGATCTTCGAGCAATTTAAACTGCTCCGGATTTATTTTCGCAAATTGTCCAGTTTTTGAAAAAGAGATCGGGAAAAGCCAGAAAAAATGTGTCACCGATAAAGATACATGCACACATACATACATACATACATAAACAAGTACACACATACACACACACACACAAACAGAGACAGCCACGTATACAAAGTCCAACATGTCACTTACAGCTTCATAAACAAAACCAAAAAAAGTGGAACTAACCTCTCCGACGATAACTTCACATAAATCCGTTCTAATACCATTCATGCGTATTTCGATGCCCACCTTCAATGGGCCTCTGTATGTCAGGCCTCGCTGCCTGCATTCCGACGGGAACAACTTTAGCTGATCAATTACCGAGGTGGCCTGCAAACAAATCATAAACATCAAAAAAGCAAAACACAAAATATCAAAAAAAATTCGAAACTCTGGCGCCTAATTTAGTCCTATTTATCTGTGTTACTACTGCATTCGTGCCGTAGGCGGCTTACTTTCTCATCTCAGTCGTACGTCCTAAACAAAACTATCGAATACATACCCCTTTAATTTCAAGCGATGGATAGCCCAGCTGAGCACCGGTATAACGAAGCTCCACAGCATCACCATTCGGGAGACGGAATTTTTCGGCAGGAACGTCCAGAGCTGCCAACTGCACTCCCTGCTCGGCCAAATAATTGAACGACTCCACATGATATGATGCAATATCACACTCCATCAGCCGGCACTGAAAAAATTATTTTTGGAATTACACACACTACTGGCTGGTTATAGTTTCTTGGGGTTACCCACAGAGAACAGATAAACATTGGCTTAATGGATTGAAACATTCCTGGCCAGTTTTTTTCGTTTCAATTTTATTTAAATCTTTTCTTCGTTCCTTTTTCTTTATACAAAAAATGTATCAACATTTTTATACAACCCATCATTACTATGCCTATTTTCTTTTAAAACAATTCAAATTCTCTTAAATCATCATAGGAAAATTCGGGCGGGTGCTCAACCGTTGCTTTCCGATGCTTGCAAGAAATTCATGTCAGCAAGCCAAAAAAGCCCAAACTCTCTTTATACTGACCTACAAGGAGGAAACACATAAAAGGGAAAATAAAGTAAAAAAAGGGGGCATACTTAATTGCGCGACCATGCA